AGTTGCCCATTCAATGATGCTGTTGCTTACATTTACTAAGCAGCCCCTCATTCCCCCACCTCCAGCTACTTGTTTACAACCCCATGCTACACTCTCTTATGTACAGTTGTTTGTACAAACAGGTAATAAATCAATTCAAACCACACAATTTTACAGCCAAGGTTTCCCAACAGTTAAAAGAAATCTAAGGTAATTCCAGTAACACCAATGAGACTATGATGTAATGAAATTTGGTTACTGATATATAGGTGAATGTTAGATTGAAGCAAATCAGTTGAGAAATAGATGGAAAAGGAGAAATTAAGAACTAAACAGCAACAACCAGAGCTTATGGAAAGTCAGATTTATTTTGTCGAAAGTAAATGACAAACTACTAACTGAAATATGAAATGTTCTGAAACGAGTAATGTAAATTTCAGATTTTCTCATCACAGGGAAAATGCCACATTTCTTAAGAAAACACTGGGATTTCATTGCCAAGACCACAGTGTCAACAGTGCCTCTCAGCCCTTCTTTACATAAGATCGACAGGGAGCTATGAAGCTAAAAGCCTGAAGAGAGGCGCACTGCAGAGCTCCGCCTGCTGTTTGGCAGCCAGAGTGCTTCCAAGAGTGCCGGGATATCTGGAGACCAGGAACATTTTGAATGTCAGCCCCACAGAGCAAGTAATCCCAAGACTGCCCATGTGTCAGGTTGAGCCACAGAAACAGCTTTCTGGGCAACATTTCCATTGTACTGTTCTGTATGAAGCTCCCTTCTCTCCTTAGGAACAACTTGTAAGACCCAGTTTAGGAGCACTGTCTTTCAGGAGCATCCTCTCTCAAACGTCTCTAGTTAGACTGGTCCATGCAAGTTGCTTCTGACAACCAAAATCTTCACTCATCCCAGCATGGTGATCTGTGGGTCCAAGCTTTGTCAATGCAGTAAAGCAGATTTTGTCCCAAAGGAAGACACGTCCCTAACAAGACAAAGGCCATGCCCTTGTTGTATGGGTAGTGGCTTAGCTACACCTACCAGCTTCTCTTCCTGTTTTTTTTTTCTAACATCACTCTATTCCTGAAATAACATCAGCATTCAGTTACCACTAATGGAAAATACTTCATCATTTTAGGGAAGGGATTTTATGATGGCTTTTACTGTAACAGCAGAGCCCTTGATTCACAGCGGTCACAGAATGCACCTTTATTACTGATACTAGCCTTGACCAAAGCACTGTGGGACTCCTGATCCTGGGAGTCTTCCCCACAGAGTCAGGGTGTATCCAAGGCACACAGCTGGGTCACAGAAACATTTTTTAGGTCTTGCAGTTTAGACATTGGCTCTGTGAAACAGCAGCTCCTTTCCATAGCTGTGTTTTCTGCAAAAAGCAATCCCCACACAGGTGGGAACTGAAAAGTATGGGACAGCAATGAGCTGCAGCACTAGGATACTCCTAGTCATTATAACCTAAATATGTTACTGTGGCAAAAATTGTAAAGTCAAGCAAGATCCACTAGACTGTCAGATCACTCAGAAAATGTTTAATAGCACTGTTTAATATCTTCATTACTGACACATACAGTGGGATCAAGTGCACCCTCCACAAATTTGCAGCAACACCAAGCTGTGTGGTGTGGTTGACATGCCCAATGGATGTGATGCCATCCACAGGGACGTGGAAAAGCTCAAGAATTGGGCCCATGGGACCCTCATGAGATTCAACAAGGCTAAGTGCAAGATGCTGCACCTGGGCTAGGGCGATCCCCAGCAACAATACAGGCTGGGGATGAAAAGATCAAGAGCAGCCCTGCCAAGAAAGACTTGGGGGTGCTGGTGGATGAGAGGCTGAGCATGACTCAACAATGTCTTTTTGAAGCCCAGATGGACAATCACATCTTGGGCTGCACCAGAAGAAGCATGGCCAGCAGGTCCATTCTCCCCCTCTACTCTGCTCTCGTGAGACCCTGCCTGGAGTGCTGTGTCCATCTCTGGGGTCCCCAGCACAGGAAAGACATGGACCTGTTAGAATGAGTCCAGAAGAGGGCCACAAAGATAATCAGGATGGAACATCTCTCCTGTGAGGAAAGGCTGAGAGAGCTGGGGTTGCTCAACCAGGAGGAGAGAAGGCTCTAGGGAGACCTTACTGCAGCCTTGCAGTACATAGAGGATCCTTATAAAAAAGGATGGGTACAGACTTTTTTAGGAGGACCTGTTGCAATAGGACAAGATGTAAAGGCTTTAAACTAAAAGAGTGTAGATTTAGACTAGATACAAGGAACAAACTGTTTACAATGAGGGTGGTGAAACACGGGAACAGGTTGCCAAGAGAGGTGGTAGATGTCTCATCCCTGGATACATTCAAGGTCAGGTTTGATGGGGCTCTGAGCAACCTGATCAAGTTGAACGTGTCCCTGCTCACTGCAGGCGGGTTGGACTAGATGACCTGTAAAGGTTCCTTCCAAATCAAACTATTCTCTGATTCTATGAAAATATGTGACAGGTGGGACACCACAAGACTTCTTTCAGCAACTTGACCATTCCTCATCCCTTGGCTATTTTCTAACATTCCATTCCCTTTCTGTTATGTCCAAACCAAATAAGCATTAGCTAAGTCTTAAATAGCCTGTTGAGGCTAACAAACAAGATTCTTAAGGCATAGTAGCATTTATCTCCCATAATTTTATACTTGTTTATGCAGTTTGGAAATCTCTTTACTGCTGCTGACACCTATCCAAGCTGAATGCTATAAAGAGGTAAGAGCTACTCACTTATTTCACCTTTTTAATAATGTTTACTCTTGCAAAAGAAATTTTGTTGTTTCCACAGGAGTTCATGCCTAGAAATCACTATTCCAGGGGAGTTCACGCCTAGCAATTACTATTCCAAAAACATATCTTACTGGTATAATTCTTTTTACTTCACAGAAGTTTAAAAATACAAGTAAAGGTCATATGCTAATTTGACATTTCAAAATCACACTCAAACCTGAAGCTTCATAAAAGTAAGTTTGATTATGACACTTGATGTACTCTACATATAGGAGCAGCTTAAAATCACTTCTTTTTGCATTATGAACTGAGATTCTTTTGCAGTAAGACATCATATTAAAAGGCTTTAAATAGTGGAGAACACCTAGCCAAAGCAACCTCTATCATTGTCCTGCTAAAATAACAACAGATGTACCAAATAACATACTTTCTGAAAATTCTTGAGCAATTGCAGTTGTAACTTCACCAAGCTGCCACAAAAAGAATTTACAGATGAAAAAAACTTCTATTTAATCAATGTTGTTAGTAAAATACACACTTCACCTATTTTTCTTGGAATATGTGATACCAGAATCGAAAAGCAGAAAATCTCTTTTAAAATAGGGGGGAAAACCCTGTAATTTTTAGGAACACTTAAGAAGTACAGAATACCTAGGCTGCTACTTATCACAAACATCTCATTATCATCCTGTATTCCCACATCCCTATCTTCTCCCCTATTCTTTCATTTCTTACCAACTTCGTAAATTCTTCAGAGCAGGTTTTCTTTTTTATACAAGGCTTGACACAACAGAGGGCATCTTTCCACCACCAAAGTGGAATAAAGTAATAATATTATCTATGTTATAATATTACAGATATTATTATTGTAGATAACATTTTATAAAAGAAAATTGGATCTTAAATTGTCCTGTCATATTAGCTGGCTTCACTCACTTTTTCAGGATACTACAGATTCTGCCTCAGAGGAATCATTTCACAGACACTGAAAGATCTCATGGCTGGTTAGGAACGGCTGGGGTTTTGGACAGCTGGAAAAGTGTAAGAGGCTACTTAAATTAAGAATTAAGCATAATGGGCCCATAATAATGTTTAAAAGATGACCCCAAAACTATCAGCTGCTAATACCACCATGAGATTTCCAAGTTAGCAACAGACTTTCTCCTCCTGAGAAAATGCAATGATTTCAGGTTGGCTGCAGATGTAAGAATACCACTTCTGTCCTATTCACAAGGTCTTCTTCATAGGTAGAGCAGTGGAAAAGCAGCAGAGCTGTTGTCTGAGGCACAATTTTGTAACTATTTATGACAGGACTTGGTATGACTTAAACTCCAATCTTCAACTTTTGACTTACAGTCTGAGAAGCTCAGAGTCTGGCTGCACAAGTCCTCTACATACAAACCATACCTGGGAGGCTGAATGCCCAGTTGCTGGAATTAGATGCTCAGCTTCTAGTTTAGTGGTGAACACAGGTATGCCAGGTTGAGTTGGACTCAGTGATCTCAGAGGTCTTTTCCAACCTTACTGATTCCAGAAAGCCACAATTTGCAAAGGGACTCCACAGAAAGGACAGATTAATAAGATCATCGATTTTTAAAGAGCTTGAAGAAGGTAATTCCCTTAATAGGGTTCTGCTGCATAGCTGCAAAGAGAAAGGGAGTTTCCTGATCTCTAAGATTGTTGATCTCTTTCCTCTGATTGCAATTAAAAGATAATCTAGAGTCATTCATAGCAGCAGATGTGGAACAGACAATACTGTCATTTCTTGTGCTGTTTATAGAGTACAAAGGGAAAACAATACACCTGCAACAGTTATGAGTCTCATACACTCATTTAGTATTAGATTAGACCAGCTTGGGAGGGCAAGGGAATTCTGGCTGGGATTGCAGAATCTGCAGGTAGGGAAGATCTTGTAAAACTGAAAGTAAATAAATAACTTTCTATCCCTTCCAGCTGTAGCAGCTAAGGTTGCTTAGGTACTGACAGCTTAAAACGCAGACTAAATAAAATCATGCAGCAAGAAATGTTTTCCCTGGTAACTACTTTCAGTGTTACATTATTTACTTATTTCAAGTATATGTTTAACTGCTGGGGGAGGGAGGGGGAAAAAAAAAAGCATTTTCCTTGCTTTGTTAACTCCACTGCTCCAACAGACGAAAAATTGAACAGTAATATAGAAACTGGGTCTGCAAATAACACACAAGGTTTTATTTTCATTTTTATTACAAAATTAACAAAAAATAATCTCATAACATTTAAAGTTTAATTTAAAAAAGTCTTCACAGGTCATCAGACTAGCAAAAGGAAAATTAAGGTAAAGAAGGTATGCAATGCATTTTGTTCCCCATTATAAACAGTCAGGACTCAGGAGCTTGCCATCAGGAAAGTCAGCTAGTCCAGCACTTCAGTCTTTAGTGCTGCAAATGAGTCAATGACAGAGGCTTCATTACATTTTCTTTTTTTATTTTTCTAAACAAATCTAAGCACAGCAAAGGACACACAAAGTGTACCATTCTTTTAAAAAAAAAAAAAAAAAAAAAAGGAAGGGTCATCTTTATGTTAGCTGAAAAATACAGCTCACTGGCGTAGCTTTTTAATGTTCAAAGAACATAAGGAAGGATAATTTTAAAAATACATATAATCTGTTAAAAGGTCAGAATTCATAAGACATTAAGACCGATCATTTACAATGTGTTCAAAAATTAACACTATATACAGAAAGATATAATTGCCAGCAGTTGTAAAAGTATAATTTTACATAGAATGTGGTCAGCCAAAAATTCATGTGCCAATTAACACAAGCACTGCTCCTTTTATTTCTTCTGAGATAGACAGACAGATACAAACATGTGGGAGGATACACTGCCTTCATAACTATTTTAGTTCAAAATCCATTGTTTTGCAAAAAACCAGTCTTCTTTAAGAAAACATGCATAATTCAGAACTCTTTACTCCCACTGACACTCCTTAAAGAGTCATTGTCATTCTTTAAAAATAATACAAGTGCTACAATATAGCACTTGTGACGTGTTATTAGCTCAGATTTAATAGTTGCAGTGAGAATACTTTAAGATATCTTTTCCTTGAGGTTTGAAAAAAAAAAAATGGGAATGAACTTGCATTCCAACATCAGTATTTAAATATTTTCAGGTCATCAAAATAAGGACCACCACGTACAAATGGAGATATCATTAAACAGATATCCTGTCAAGAATTAGGTACTGACAGTTTAAACTGACAGTTTAAAACGCAGACTAAATAAAATCATGCAGCAAGAAATGTTTTCCCTGGTAAACTACTGTCAGTGTTACATTATTTACTTATTTCAAGTAATTGAAATGCAATTGGTTTTATTTCTGTCACCTTTAAGTGAGCCATCAGTAATAACCATCAGAATAAAATTCACCCTGGGAAGGCACAGAATTTCAGAAGATATAGATGTGTAAGGCCCAGCTCAGTTTTCCTTCTGCAAAAGAGTGAAATAATCAATGTGCTGAAACTTCAGGACCTCGTTTCCCCAGCTGGTCCAGCCAGGCTGGAGGTTGCGAGCAAACAGCTCCAAGCATTCCACATCTGGTTTGATAAACTCTGCCAGAACTGCTGTGTGAGAGAAAAAAAAAAGAAAAAAAGAAAAGAACAGTGACAATGGTACAAATAACAATAGTAAACACATAAAACCTCCCCTGTGATGCTAGTGGATGAAAAAATGAATGTTTCATTAAAAAAGGGAGAGACAGCAAATTAATTTCAGGGGTTTCATCAAACAGCTGGACTATTTATAGTGAGAAAGTAATTTTAAATAAGTACCCTTGAGATTCTGAACAATACTGTCAAGGCCTTCAATAGCCTTGATTTATTGGTTTTCATTTAGAGAAAGGGAATGAGGATTTATTTCAGCCTCTACGTAGACGAGTTCTGAATTTTTTACTAATATCAACAAACAGCTCCTAAAGACTAACTTAGCTCCTATAACACAGGGGTAACATTTCTAAAGATAAATAAATAAATAACCCCTTTTCTTAATTAAGATCACACTCTTTTCCTTTGCACCTTAAAGGGGATAAAAGCATTTTTGTGATGACTGTTAAGAGGTAAAATAAGAGGCACCAGTTAAATAAGCATAGCACTAAAGGGCTATAAAAATGCAGGCACTACTTTTTCCCCAATACCAACTTGGCAACAGAAGAGATATTTATATAACTCTGTTCTTTTATTCAGTAACATAAATCTCATATTTCTTTTACAGTTGGGCATTTTTACTGCTTAAATCCAAATAAATAGATGCCTGTCATTAACATTAATGATGTAAATGTCATGGATTATGAATGGCATTCTTGGAGTGACAGAAAAAGATCTCGCATTTTGCTTAAAAAGTATTACTGCAAAGAGTTTATTGCTAAATGTTTTACTTGTCATACAGAGCCATTTAGTCTGTGGCTGGTTCAAACAAATCCTTAACTAGGTTTCACAAAGTTATTGCATATAAAAATATGCATGAGAAAAGTAAAGGTTTAAGGAGTACAGAACACAGAAAAGGCAGAAAGACCAAAAAAAATCTTAACATATAATTTTTAGTATAAGTAAGGTTTTTAGGTTTTTGGTTTTGTTACTGAAGACAAAAGAAGAAAAGTTATGAAAACATTTCCAAAGGATACTTTGGTGTTTTTTTGTTAGATCTCCCAGCGATTTCTGAATCTCTGTCACTTAAAAATACAACTCATTAATCCAACAGTATGCTGCTTGATTCAGTCTCTTCAGGTGTGATCACTGCAGATCATACCAGCATACACATCCAATCAGCATACACCAACGTAGGAGAGGGAATGCTTTTTCTTGGTTTATTTGGTGCAATCCAAGTTCTGACTCTTTGTAGGAAGTTTGCCTGTCACATACTGCCTGTGTGAGACCTCAGCTGATCAGATCATGGATTGCTCCTGTTGGAGAAAAGACGAACATCTACTTCGCTTTCTATTGTTAGCCAGGCCCAGCTGCATTTCCTACCTATATGATCACCTCTTAAAAAGCTTTAATATATTCAAAATCTTTTCGTAAATATTCTGTAATGGGTGTTTCCAGGCTTTCTTGTATTCTGGCTTGGCACAAAAATCTATTCTCCTTCTCCCAATCTTTAACAAATGTCACATGAATGTCTCAGATGGGTTATCATCAAGGCAGCTTTTAACCTAAAAAACACTGCTACCAGCAGGAATCTTATTCCAAAAACCTGCTTCTTTTAGAGACAAGTTAAAATGCTTAAACAACTCCAACATTTGCAGAGAAGTCTGGGAAGTTTAGAGGAAAATGTACATTCTGACAGAAAACTTGCTGCACTGTTTGGTGTCATGGGAGTTCATCTAATTAGACACGACTTATGAGTAGCTGTTTTTATACCATCTTGCAAAATCACCATAATAGAAGAAAAAAAGTGGTAAGGTTTACTGTTCTTCTTCCAGCTCCATTTAGATAAGGATTTCTTGTGCATCATTTGCTGTCAACATGATCAGAGGGCTCAGGCACCTCTGCTAGGAGGACAAGCTGAAAGAGTTGGGGTTGTTCATCCTGAAGAAGAGAAGGCTCTGGGGAGACCTTATTGTGGCCTTTCAATGCTTAAAGGGGGCCTCTAAGAAAGATGTGGACAAACTTTTTAACAGGGCCTGCAGCAATAGGATAAGGGGTAATGGTTTTAAACTAAAATAGGATTGATTCAGACTAGATATAAAGAAGAAATTGTTTACAATGAGGGTGCTGAAACAGTGGAACAGGGGTGGTAGATCTTAAAATGCATAGGTTAAAAAATATCACAGCACTAAGTTCAGCAATCAAAAGCAGTTTTAACAAGCATCAAAAACTTCCATGCCTAAAAGGACAAATTTGAAAAGCACACATCGGAGATTCAACCAACTTCAGAGACTGGTGCAGCAAAAAGCAGGTAGCCAAAAAACCTGATCAGTTCAGCAGAAGCAGGAGGCATGTCACAGTACTTCTATCAATTTGGTTATAGAATTTAAAAAGGAAGTCCCAGGAATCTCCCCCTCTCCTTCTGCCAGTGTGAGGATCTTTTTAAAGTTAGAGTCTTTTTTTAAAAAAAGAGAGACATATTACATATAATTCGAGATCACATTATAGTATGATTTTTCATTGCTAGGTTGTAGGCATTTACATAATCACATCAGGCAGTAGCTTGCACTGCAGTGAAAATTACCATATCAAGAGGGCTCCATTTTGTTGGCTTAAAATCTCATTACATTGGTTTCCTTAAAATAAGAAAAGTCAGTGTTCAAGTTACAAATTATGGCTTTTTTGTTAGACCTTTTTAAGACTGGAAGGCTAGCTTAACACACAGGCATTTGACTTGCAGCCCTCAAGCAAACCACGGAGTTTTTTTCCTCTGAAAACAGGTTAGAGGAGCTACATCAGCAGAAAGATTAAATATTAAGTTCTTCTACCACAAAAATAAATTGAAAAACAAAATCCACCACACAATTACTTCTATCCACTTACAGATACCACTGACAAGAAACAGCTCAAATAAATGATAAACAGCCTATTCTTTATCACTTACAGGTGTCACAAACACTATGACAGCAACTCAGGCACTTAAATTTGGGCATGACATGATGCTAGCACAAAGCTAGCTGGTAGACATAACACTGGTCTTCCAGAAAACCCTCTTAATTCTGAAGTGCAATCCAGCAGACACCTGCCATACCTGCTTACTCTTAATCCCAAACATGTATTGAAGATGCATGCTGCTAAAAACGTTTAAATAAGAAAAAAGAGGAACGATTTTTGAAACAAGCAACAGTTTCCCCTTATGTTTTAGACTTCCACTGCCTAAAAGGCAAGTTCTGCACTGACAAATTGCATACATAAAGTGAAAATGACTCTCGGCTTTTCACTGCCTCATCAGTGAACCGTGCAAAGCACAAAGCACACAACTGAGCTCATTTTAGAATAACCCTTCGAGAGAGTTCACAATGCAGAGGTTCTTACAGCCCAGTTTGTCTAACCCCTGAACAGAGTAACACCAGAAAAAGATCTGAAACTTGGCACAAAGATGGTTTCACACATCTGCATCTCTCCTAAGCTTCAAGTTAAACTCAGATGTTGATGCACCTATCAATTAGTTTAACAGTAAGGACTCACAAGGCACATAAGGAAACAAAAGGCATTTATTTCTTTTTAGTTGCAAGGAAACTTTCTTAACACGGCCTAACAAGCCAGGCTTGCTACAAGAGGAGGGATTTTCCATGACTTCCCACTGCATTTTTCTGCTGAGGATAGAACACAGCCAAGAATTATTTCCAGTGTTTTTAGACATACTCCTATATGACAATATCATTTTCTAACAACATATGTACATACTTAAAAACTGAAGGAGAAACGGCTGTAACAAGAACAACCTATAATATAGGAAAAGGAAAAAAGGTGATGTGAAGTTATGTAGAACTTCATCCATCTGTGTAACAGAATGTCTTTTATGCCTTGTAAGAGCAACACTGAATTGAATTGGGAAGAAAACCTGCTGTTATTTGAATCGAAACCTGGAGTAATAAAATTTGATTTTAACACATTTGCATAAAGCAGCTTAAGTACATTTACAATGACATATTAAAGCTCTAAGCATTGAACACAGCACATGCATCACCAAAAACCCCTACAGTTGCAATTTCATGGTTAAATGCACTGTAGGAGCACAAACACGTCTTTTTGACGGCTTACTTCAATTTACATCTTTCTCTTCCCCCAGGAGAGATAAACTGTTATAATCAGTCATTAAGTGGTTACATATGCACCAACATACAACCGTTATTGTTGTAATAAGAAGCAAAGTGCCAGACACCATCAGTAAATACTAATATTTTTGGCTTTGTTACCACTTAAACAAAGCATAAAGAATGCGTGTGACTCATCAAGTGTCCTTCTCGCCCCTTGCCAAATCTTTGCTTCTGTTCAAATTTCTTCTGAAACCCTCTAGGATGTAGCTTAGCTGCTCTCTACTGGCTGCTCGAGAGTATTGTCCAGTCATAAAAGCAACACCTGGAACAGCACTGAAGTCAAAGCATCAGCAATTAGCTTTTGCCTTATGGTCTACCTTTTCATTACATAACTGTATTCTGAATGGAGATGTCAAAAAAGGTAGGATACACGTGGATTTTTATAGAAACCTTGTAAATCATTGATATTTGCTCCACAGCAAATTTATTTTTTCAGAGAGAAATATAAATGCTGTACAATATTATCAAATCCCAGCATTCAAGTAAAATCCTCGAGAAATACACAAAAAAATTAGCACAAACAGTTTCTTTTAAAATCCATTCAGGATCATAATTTATAAAGGAATCCCAAATACAGTTTCTAGATTCTGCCCTACAAAAGAATTGTTCCACGGACTATTCCAGCACTAGAATTTCCTGCAATACACACAAACAGTTGTTCTGCACCCTCAGATATCTCACAAGTTTCCTGTTTGTGTCTGAGTTTGCTGCTAAGTATTGGTTTGCTGAAGAGGCCCTAGATGACAGCCTCACAAATCACCACCCTACTATTCATTACCTTAAATCAACACATACAGTTCCTCCTCTAGTCCTAATTCTTAAAGATGTGGCTTCAGAATCAAAAAGATCCTCCTAGAATTGCCTTTCTTCTTTTCTGCTTTTAGCTAATCGAAGTATGTCCCTTCCAGTAGTTTTTCAACAGGTATATATATATATATGTATATTTATGTTAATTTAATAAATACAAGATCCCAAAAATAAATTTTACAGTGTCCCTGAACATAAAACAATTTTCCAGGTCAGCATCCTAACTGAAGCTGTTCTATTCCCTGGGAACAGAAAAAAGCAAGCATGTCAGTGAAGCAAACTGTGACACCTCTCCCCTTCAACAGCTTTAAACATTTCTTCTACCTGCCTTTTCTGATGTGACTACATAGCACTATGCGCACCTGGAATATTTGCAGATTCATCATGAGCTTCCCTCCTGTGGGAGGATGAAACCATTTTTGTGAAATGTATTAAATGCACTTCTTACCATAGCCTTGCAAGGTGAAAGAAGTACAACTTCCTACTGACAAAATTAGTCAGAGTGCTCCAGAACAACATGCAAAACGTAGCAACACATCACACGGAAGTCTTCAAATTCTTTGGACTAAACTCCGAAAAGCTGGATTTATACCCACATCAACTGGCTGGCTGAAGTTACTGCATCAATTTCAGTAAATTGAATAGAGCTTCTCAGAAAAAAGCAGGGCCTGCCTATTTATTGCCTATTATCAGCAGTCTTAAAATAATTACGCTTTTGGATTTAAAGGCATAATTTTACTGCAGGCAATTCATGCAGAAATGAAAACTTTTCCTTCAAGATGACATAATAAAGGTAGAGTTTTCTGCTTTTATTAACTAAGTAGAAGATATCCTATTTTATATATTCCCAAAGTTTTCTCCCCACAAGGTATTTTAGATCATTTGCCATAACTTCATATATGAAGTATCTGTAAACTGTTTGTGCAGTATTTAATAGACAAATTTTGAAAAAGGCAACTTTTTTTTACACATCTACCCAAAATATTCACACAATAATGCTGAAAGTTCTAGTTTTCACTTTCATTTTTAGAGACCAAGACATACACGCCCCACAACACTTTTAAAAGTGTTGAGGAACCACAAGTTCTGTTGAGCAAAATTGCTTTGCATATGGGAAATTAAGGCACTTCCAGGTACATCGTAGAATGAGATATCCAAGTCCACTGCATTACAGAAATATTATGCAACAAAACCAAAACGTACCAGTAAGAGGAGGTTTATGTGAATGCAGAGTGCAGGGTGTGCTGACAATTAACTTATGTTCTGGAATTGGAAGTACACCCTCAGATGTCCTGTCGTATAAAGAACAAGAAAAGAAGTATGAGCAAGGAATGCCACCCAGTGTGGTGCTGCAGCTCTCACAGAGCTACTTCAGATGAGAGGTAACACACTCACTGTGTTACTGTGACTGTGAATGCTCATTCACAGTCAAACTTCAGGTAGGTCCAAGGGAAGTTAAAAGTTGCTCAGACATATAAAAGGACAGTGAACTCATTGAGGCTTTAGACACAATTTGGTTAAGAACAGCCACACAAATCCACTGAGAACAAACAGTCTTGTATCTCTTCATGAGTAGAAAAACCGCAGCATCCCCAAAATGGCATCAGCCTGTGTCAAGGACCCATGGTCCAAGAGAACATGTCAGCAAAGGAAGCTCTGTCCATGAGAATTTTGTCCAAGTCAGTTCCCCAGCACAGACAGATGTAAGGAAAAGGCAAAGATTTCCATTCTTTAATCTCACTAAGGCACACCCTTATCCCAAAGTTAGTAAGGCTATCTTTAGGTCCACAATCAGCCAAAAGATGATGCCACAAGATTTTAGGATATTATACTGTATTATAAACAAGTGACATATACAAAGGGGATCTTAACATCCTCAAAAAGACATTTACCATTGTCCTGACATACCTTAAGGCTTCCTTATCATCTCCTTGAACTCTCCCCAATACAAGAACTTCATAGGGCTTTTTGTGCAAAGAATCCAAAGGCAATACAAATTCTCCAGCCCTAGTAATCTGACACAAAAGAGTTAAAAATACACAGTGGAAGATTTTAATATTCATTTTTTCCCAAGACATTTTCTTTTATAAAAGAAAGGATACTGATGATATCAGACCTTTCAAATACAGAAGCACACAGTAGTAAATAGACAAATTATAAGAATATAAGGTATCATAGTGGAAGTCCTCTCAGTCTGCAAGAAAGAAACAAAACAAATTAAGAACTTACTTTTACCCAGTGCCACTCAGCAAGTGTCTTCACTGACCAGTGAGGATAGAGCTCATCCTTAACAAAATGTAAGTGCTTCTGTCTATTAGTCACCCATGTGACTACAAGACAATTTGGAGCAGCTAGTGTTGGTACAGGAATCTGCTTGATTTGCCATGAAGACAAGTGGCTGTACCTATACAGCAATACAGCGAGAAAGCAAGTTAGCATACACCAAATATAAAAAATGCAAAGCAACACAAATAGATAAAGAAATTACATGGACAGGATGTTTCAAGAATTCTCTCTTGACAACCAAAGTCATAAAAATAGTTCAAGACTGACACCCAGTGGCCAAAGCTGACAGATTTTATATGAAATCATTAGTGTGTGGACTTAAGTTTTACTGAGCAGAACCTTTAACTAAATATTTCCACTATTCCTCCAAATAAAGCACTGTGAGTTGTGACTCTGATGAAGTCTAAAAGCCCATATTTCATTTAAGAACTATCATATGTAATTCAATATTCTCATCTCTACAACAGAACAAAGCCATTTAGTTAAAAGTATCTTCTTAGGCAATGTAGTATTATTCACTTCTCATAACAAGCTCTCTTCTGAACGAAAATGACAACTGAGTCATTTGCAAGTGCAAGGGCAACACTAATTTGACTGGAAAGTTAAGAGGTCATGAAAGATAATTTCTCCAGTTATTTGCAAAAGTTACTCATTTTTTTTAATTACCAGTCATGGTAGAAATTCTCTAGTTTATTCAAAACCATTCTGCACGTTCCTGAGCTAACTGAACACTACATCAGTAAATACAGCACGCTTTCCAGATTCTGTCCCATTCCACCATTCTCTCATGATGCTATTCTACATTATTAGCAAGTTGTAATTCCTGGAACCTACAAATTACAGCATCAAAAATATCGGGACACTGCCTACTGGAAATCAACAGCTACCATGTGGGTACCTAGGACCCTATACAATGGAACAGTGAGAAACAATATAAACAAACATAAAATCAAAAATACCTCCTGGACTAGACCGTCCAGAGACAAAAAGATTCACCCAGATGTGAAATGCTTCAAAATTATTAGCTGTCAACCAGGTAATTAAGAGCAGTGATAGCTCCTGCACCTTTTGCCTTTATTTTGTGAGGGAGAGAGGGTCTTGCTGGCTAATTTGTGCTTGTGAATAACTGCAATTTTCCTCTGAGTACCAGACATTGGCAAGAAGACATTTGAATTAGTTCAATTACTCATTTTCTATAGGTTTCTGTAAGGCTTTCAAAGGAAAGCCTACTAATCAGTCTCTGCATTTTCAAACTATGTCTTCATAAAAAGTTTCAAAAGCTATGGTAGTTATTAGTCTAGAAAGTTGTAAGGCCCTATTTCCTGTCTGACCTTCTTTCACATGGATACAACTTACAGTAATCCACAGGGGCTCCCATCTTATGAAGGTAATCCAAGAGGGCTCCACTGGCATAAGTCTGATGTTACTTGGCAGTGAAGGAAGTCCATAAAAATTTAATTTAATGACTTCATAAACTACAGTACTCGAGGATTTTACTGCTGCATTATCACTTTCTTCTATCCATTAGACTGAAGCTCAAGCTACAGCTCAAATTAAAAAAAAAAACAAACCACAACAACAGCAACAACAAAAACAAACCCCACAACCAAGATAAACACCACCACTAACACTTCTGAATCAGATTTCAGTTTTGGAAATACTTACACGTTTATCTAGCTTTATGGCCAGCGAAGTAACCTTATTAATTACAAATTAATATCTGCATGATCTGGGATTTACAAAACAGTTGACACTAGACTTTCTTTGAAATTCTCAAAGACTAACAATCTCTCACTGGTTAGGTAATTTAAGATCTATTCTTGCAAATATTTTGTATGCCAAGCATCCAAGCCCTTTCAGTGAAATCCCCAAGACATTCCATAGACTTGAAGGTAAGCATATGCCAAAATATTTGCAAGTTTAAGCTGCAGTATCACATTATATTGGTCTTGGATTACGTCAGCACATTAAAATATTAATTACCTTTTGTAAGATACAATGACAATGTATGATTTTACTATAAAATTACCTGTTGCTCCTTTTAACAGACTTGTTCTCCCATGGTGGATCAATCACAATTACATCATATTTTTTTTTGTCTGGCAAATGAAATTGAAAAAAAAAAAGCCAGTCAATCATCTTTTAAAAAGTCTATGAGTTAAAACTGATATACAGCAAAACCACACATTTCTTCTGTTCTTTTCAAATAAGAAGTTAAAAGACTTTTGGTATGCTTTTTAGAATTCAGATAATCATATCCTTCAGAGATTTTTAGGCTGATTACCAGAGGAAAGGACTTTTATGTGATCTGTGTCAGATCCCTCCAAGAAATTTTGAACATCTTGAGGATTTTTAGAAAAAAAAAGTTATAGAGTGCAAGTCTCGAAAACGACAATTTCTTCAAGTTTCCTACCAGAAACTAAGTAATAAGACACCCAGCTGAGTGAAAAGCTGAAGCCCTGAACACAAGATTCCTCTTCTGTTTGATCTTTCAGCAGGCCAACAGGGACATACAGAGCTTCAAGGAAGCCCTGGAAAACTGTGTTTTGCACTACTGGAGGTAAAGAGAGACAAGATAGCTAGATCTAGTGTATGAAATGCAAATAATGGACAAGAAGAAGAGAACTGAAAGAGATTTCATGGGAGAAGCTGAGTTTACTTCAGTTCGAGGAGAGAATATACAGGGCACATCCATGAAAAAACAGGACTCTCCAATTTTATTTTTTCCAGAGAACATATTTGTCCTTTCTTTGAGTCTGATGGTAAGAACAACAGATCAGTATTTGATGTTCATTACATGTGCTTAGTATATCTTTTTCCCTTAGGATTGGATGTAGTAACCTTACAGCAAGAATTACTTCTCTTTTTGCAGGTGAAAGGGAAGAAGAAAAACAGAAATTAAAATGGACAGTAGACTTCCTCCAAAAAAAAAAAATCTAATAACTGACATTATATAAACACTCACTGTTGCTTATTTCAATAAAGAATTTGCTCAAATCTTTTGGACTGCTCTCTGACCTCTTGAGGAATCCAAACATGCTTTCTTATATGCATAGCTTTGCATAGTGAGAATGATCTTCTCTCTTTCCTACAGCTGCAAACAGCTAACCGGTTAAATTCTGGACTTCTTGGATAATAAGATCCTACCTCCTGCATGTCTTCCTATTAAAAAAATTAACAGGAACAAACAAACAAAAGCCCAAAACAGGGGCCTGCTCACAGGCAACATCTTTTCTGTAAGACTGTCTGACAAAGCTTAGCTGCTACTGATATTAATAATAATAGTAATAATAATGAAAGTCAATTTGAAAGCTGATGGAATGGTGAAGCACAGTGAAGACTGGTGCATGCTGTCAGCTTAAAGCTTTGATTCACTTTTACAGAGAAGCTATTATAAAATCCCACCATTTCCCAGTCACTGAATTTGGCTTAAGCCAATACTCTCAGCTGTGAAATGTAGCAGCTGAGACATCAAGTCATGCTTGCTGCTCCTGGTCTGGCTAAAGTGGTGCTCCCTTCCAGTTGGGTGGAGCAGCCTCTCCAACTGTTATCTTCCCGGGGGGACACTGGGCTTTTTTCCACAATCAGTTCATGCCAATCTAAAAAAGACCCTGCCACTGCATAGGATGAGTCTGTAAGGGAACGTTTGTTTTAAGGTGTGTAATCTTATCCCTCTCCCATGGTTTAATCTAGCTAAAAATCAATTCAGCAGGACCACCACCCTAGCAGCAGAATGGACTTAGCTATGTTAAAGCCTCATACTGTGGGACAGGGATCCAGCAGCATAGCTAGTCCCCACCTAATGCATTTATATGACTTCTAAGCTGACAGTGGCTCAGAACATGCTCAAACACTGTTGTACTTTGGCTGAAATTTTTAAAGGAGTCTCCTGGAGACAAACAATATTCCCATGACATGATCTCCTAACCGCTCAAGATTCCTTTGAAAACCCTCAACTATTTGCAGAAAGTTAGAAATACCACTTTAAAAGCCTGCAGCAGCATTTCCTATCAGTGTGATACTGTATATTAAAATCTGTTCATTGAGCTCCTATTCATCTTGACCTTAACTGCTCTTTTCAGGCAGGAGAGAAGGAGTAAATTCTAACACCTAAAGATACTTACAGTTCAGCAGGGGCTGTAAACATGAAATATCAGATAAAAGGAAACTGCTTTTTGGTGGCACCAAGTACTTCTGCCCCATTAACACAATTATCTTCGCATGGTTTGAGGCGTTTTCTGCAACACACGAAAGCAGGTCCTGCTCTGGACTGGAGGTTTCATCCTCTAGCACATATACAGCCCGATGGTCACCTTCATTCACAGCTGGAAACTGCTTTGCCATTTCACATAATTCAGCCAACCCACAGACAACAGGAACGTTATTCTTCCTGCAACTGAGTTCTGCAGTCCTTTGGTGAAGAAAACCACTTTTGAGTCCTTCTTGGACTAAATGCAAAGTGCCTTCCCAAATCAGCTTCCTGACCTGTATTGTCATAAAGAAACAAGGGAAAAAAGAAACGATCTTTCAGGCATCTACATGCTCAGGGAATGTAATCGAAATCAAAACAGTCTTCAATCTGCAGGCAGGGAAAATGATCCTTGCAAGTTACAGAGAACATTGGCTCAAAAGCTACAAGGGCATGATGATAAGGCTGCGTATCATGGTCTAACACCAGCTGGCAACCAAGTACCACTCAGCTGTTCACTCACACTCCACAAACCCTATTCGTGGTGGGCAGGAGAAAAAAACCCAAACCTTGGACTAAGATCAGTTTAATAACTGAAACAAAATTAATTACTATAATTATTAAAAACAGGGAGAGAGAGAAATACCACCCAAGAGAAACAACTGATGCACAGTACAATCACAAAATAATCTGAGTTGACTTGCAGAGCTATAACCTTTAACAAAACAAACACAGTAAAAACCCAATACTTCCTAATCTGTTAATGGTATCAGAGGCTAGCTAGGATCACAGGTTTTTCCAAACTGTGTCTTTTTACATATTCACCAAAAATACTTCAGTGTAATTCAGTTGTAACTTCACCAGTACATTACTGACATAAGCCTATAGACTTGAATTCCAATTCATTCATAATGCTTTAGTATGACAATATAAAATGTTAGAGGAAAAAAAAAATAAAAAAACCAACTTTCTCATTTGCAGAATGAGATATTTTGGAGCACATTTGGTCAAAAGAAGCTTTGAATAACTTCAGCACAGTGCCCTGATACACTAAAAATGAGCTGATCTTCAGAAAAGGTTACAGTCTATTTCAAATCAGTCACTTCCTGACCAACTAATACTCAACTCATCACAGTATAATATTTAGTTATCCATAACAGTAAAAGAAACTTTGTCAATGCAGTTTCCAGCTCTTTGAAATATCTCAAATGCAATTTCACATGTGTCTACAAAGAAGATCTTCTCTGTAAGCACTTTTCACCTAAGACTGGAGAGACTGACCTTCCCACTAATGGAACAAGCTACAGGAACAGAACTTGTTTGCAACCACGGCCCGCACTCCGTACATGCCTATCAAGTATCATGTACTTGCAAAATATACTTTTTTTCCAACTTACCTTTGAATGGTATTCCAAAGCATCCAGTTCACCTTGGTTGAATAAACATTTCCTTTTACGTTTCTGCAGAATGAGTAAGCAATGAAAAAAAAAAAAAATCCATATTATTCTGCAAGGAAAAAAAAAAATCAAACATACCTGAATTACCAATTAACTCTTTTAAAAGCAGAAGAAACTTTACATCTCTTTCTTTTTCCATCACAAATACAAGTCAAATAAGCAAAAAGATCTAGGCTGCGGCAGGCATTCTCAAGGTACATACACTTAAAGCTGTGTTATGTTACTCATGTCACTGGGATCTGAAGATACCTAGTGCATGCCACAGCTGGTGCTCATGCTTCCTTTGGGCCCACACTAGAAGTTTCAGCTGCCAAGTGCAGTTTACCAACAAAAGAAAATTAACTACATTTCATTGATCACATCTGTTGTTTTAGACCTACAATTCTTATTTTCTTTTGTCCATAAGAAACAGTACTGAACAATATTGAAAGTTAATTCCTCTTCTCCTTCCCATCTTGCTGATATGCACAGTCTTAACAGCAACCACAGCTGGAGCTCAAGTGCCTACCACCAATGTAAGAAGATTTTGTGAGCTTTTGAGTCACAAAATGCACATTATTGACATACAGAACACAAGAACATCCTCATAAGTGCTTACAATTTCTGTGCATCTTGAAAATACATGATGTAAAAGTTCCTGCTCTTCTGCACAACCTCAGAAGACTCAGGTATGCAAAATAATGTTAAATAGTAAATTATCACAGGATTACTGTAGTTTACTGTATGACAGAGAACATACCTTCATAGCACTGCCAACAGAATCTTCAGCACCACTCTTTGTTCCTTCCTGGCGTTCCTCTCTGTTACTGTTGACCTTTATTTCTGTCAGACTCATCTCAGGGCACCCCTGACATAGCTGCTCCTCAGGAGGTGCAACTATATGGGGCTTAGAAATGTCAAAGAACTCCTCTCGAAACACGTATCTCATTTTTGCTGTTTTACCTTCTGTTTCTATGGCATCCTCAGGGCTATGAGTAGGACCACTGCTTGATGAGGAAGTGGCAACAAAGGTAGAAGAACCATGACAGTCTTCAGTAGATCTGACAGAAGTATTGAGAGTGACACCACCAGGGCATGCAAAGGAGTCACAGATCTCATAGCCACACTGGTTGATGAAAGAGAGATGATCCACAAGCCATCCCACTGTCAGACGATGTACCACGGACATCATAACTTCCTTTTTCAGGAGGAAAAAATCAACTTCCTGAAACTGCAGCTTTCATCAACTATACACATTTCCCGGAGTAAACTCCTCCCGTGGGGATTTTTATAAGAATTTGCTTTTCAGAACTATCACTGTTTTAATAAAGTAGAATATACCTTCAGATGGACATTTCCACGTGCACACAGGACATGCTGTAGAACCTTCTGACTTCAGCTGTTTTCCCTGTGCATCCCTATTTTAGCTTCATCCCTATAATGTTTTTTTATTTTAACAGTAAGCAAGTTCTATATAAGTTTTTACACTTTTATGCAGCACACATTTACTCTAAAACAGTTCCTTCAACAAGATGGAAAATAGCACTGTGTGATCATATCTATGACTATACGACTAGGGCATATATACATACACAGTACACATACACACATACGGATATACGGATATATATGCTATATACACACACATACATGCACACATACACACATACCCGCACACACGACAGTGACAGCGCTCGGGGGCAGTAACACAGGCACAGAAGCAGCGGCGGCACCAGCGCTGCTGAAGCCTGGCGCCGATGCCCACCCGCCCCCGGAGGCACACAAGGGCAGCAAGCTCGGGTTTTTTCCCCAGAAGAACTCGCTGCGGCTGGAAAAAAAAGCCCCGGAGCTCGCCCTGGCACGGCAGCGCCTCACACCCTCACCGTGGGCGCCGCCATCTTGCTGTACGGCCAGGGCCCTTCCCCTGGGCCCTTCCCAAGATCCTCGCCTCCTTGTGACGAGCCTCTGCGTGACGTGTGGGCGGGCGGATTTGAATTTGAGCGGAGGAGGAGGAAGGCGGCGGTGTTGGAGGTAACGGCTGGGACGGGGCTCTCCGCGGTGCGGGCCTTTCCCTCTGAGGGGGGGCGGGAGGGCGGCAGCAATAACAACGCCAACGCCGCCCGCAGCGTTGCCGCCCCGGGGCCGGTGTCCGTGAGGTGGTGGCGAGTACCGCGCTGGTTGCCTTCGGTACGGTTTAGACGCGCTGTCAGGGCGAGCGGGGGAGCTGCGCCCAGCTCTGCCGCGCTCCCTCCTCCCCTTTTATTCCCTGCTGGCGTGTTGGCTGCAGCAAATTCTGCTCTTAAATCTCTGCTCAAACTCTGCTCTTCTGGCATCCTGGGTTGTATTAGGAATAGTGTGGCCAGCAGGACTAGAGAAGTGGTTGTTCCTCTGTACTCGGCACTGGTGAGGCCGCACCTTGAGTGCTGTGTCCAGTTCTGGGCCCGTCAATTCAGGAAGGACACTGAGGTGCCGGAGCGAGTCCAGAGAAGGGCAGCGAAGCTGGTGAAGGGTCTGGAGCACAGTTCTGACGAGGAGCGGCTGAGGAAGACGGGGTTGTTTAGCCTGGAGAAAAGGCGGCTTGCGGGGGACCTTATCGTTCTCTACAGCTGCCTGAAAGGAGATTATAGGCAGGTGGGGTCGGGCTCTTCTCCCAGGCAACCAGCGACAGGAGGAGAGGGCACGGCCTTAAGCTGTGCTGAGTGAGGTTTAGGTTGGACACCAGGAGGAATTTCTTCACAGAAAGGGTGACTAGACACTGGAAGGGGTTGTCCAGAGAGGTGGTGGAGTCACCATCCCGAGAGGTGTTCAAGAAAAGACTGGACGTGGCACTTAGTGCTGCGGTCTAGTTGACAGGATGGCCTAGTTGATAGGCTGGACTTCATGATCTCAAAGGTCTTTTCCAACCTCATTGAGTCTGTGATTTGGGAAACTAGTCACTTGGTGTATTTGTGAAAACAATCTGTCTGTGGTTGGGTCTCTGTTAAAGAGATTGAATAATGCAGCTTCTTCCCCAGAGACAGTGAAGTCGTGGATACGCTACCGTATGAACTGGGCCTGAGCTAAACCTCTGCCATGGTTTGTGAGCAGTGGAACTAGAAGCGAAATGAAACACAGTTTACATTGATAATGTGTTTTGGTAATGTTTGTAGTGGAGGTTTTTTTGACTAGTTATAATTCAGTCACTTAAGGCTGTCCCACAAATAAAACAGATCCTCTCTAGAGGGTGAAAGTGGGTGGGTTTTTTCCAGAGTTAATTCTATTTACTTCAGATTCCCACTTAATGTCACCTTGGGGACAGTGGTATTAATATTCCAGTTTGATTTATATTTTGTGTGTGTAGTCTGAAGAGAGCCATAATATTATCTCAGAATAGGTTTTCCAGTTATTATGCTATGATACTGCAAGATCTTTTGCAAAATTAATAAGCAGGCTCAGAATTAGCAGTTCAGGAGTAGATGAAGTGCTGAAGAGCTGGAAACAGTAGTCATGGTAGTGTAGCTGACTGAACTGAAAAATTTCTCAAACCTTTTTTTCCTTGTGGAACTTGTAGGTTAGAAATGCCCAGATGTAAAGGCAAAATAGTAGGTTCGGAACAAGCACTGACACTTTCATCAATAAAATAATTGATTTAAATGACTGTGGCTGCTCCTGTGTATTTCTGGAGCCTAACATAATCACTTTTTTCTTTTTCTCTTTTTTTTAAAGAGAATCCAGTATTTCTAGAAACTTCATCACACTTTGATCCAATATACAGTTCTACTTGCTTATTCTGATCCTTAAGAAAATCACTGTGGAGTTTAAAAAGACTCTTAGATCCTGGATTTTCTGATACTGAGGGATTGTGATTTACAGTTCAGTCACAATGAGACGAAGCTCAAAGATCACTAGAAGCAGCGGTCGGCAATCTATGATGGCACTGAGAGTGCAGGACAACAACAAGATGGGTCTTCAAACACCTCAGATGTAAGTGTTGCTGATCATGTTGCCAAGAATAGCTACATAAAACTAATTCTGAAGAGATTTAGTATAGTGCATTTGAGCGTGTGAGTAGTAACTGGGGCAAAAATTGGAAACAGTGAGAAGAAAGCTCCTTGCAGCCAAGAATGTTTGCACAAGTACTCCAGTCCTGCAAAAAGACTTCCTTTAATCTTTTTGTGTACCTGTGACACATTTCAAATGGTAACACATTTTCTAACATACTTGTTAGGTGGTGGCTTGGTGCCTCTGTATAGAAAATGTGTCCTTATAAATCTTGAAGAATTAGTTTTAATAATGGACAAATAATGCATTAAAATTGGTTGACTTTTCTAAGATGCTGTGCGATGAAGGTGCTTAGGCTTATATGAGTGTGTTTATAGTTCTTGCATGAGCAAAAGGTGAGATGGTAGAAATAGTCACTTAAATCCTTCTCACTATTTCTCAGGGTGGACAAAGGTACCTTTGGGAAGCTGAGCATGAGCAAACCTACACCTGCAACTTCAGAAAGAAAAATCAGCATTTTTGGGAAGAGGTATTGATAACTTTTGTTCTCTGCTCTGTAAATTAAAACAATAATGCTCCCACATAATTTTGTCGTTTTTTTCTCTTGATAGATTTTTCACTATAGGGAATAATTATCTGAGGCCAGGAGACCTTTAGATCTGCCTTACTCCACTCTTTGGTCACTGAGCAATAATGCTGTGCAGTAAGAATCGCTCTGGGAGCTGTTTTTTTCTCTTGGGAATGATATGCATGACAGACCTTCCGAGCACCTCAGTACACTTTCCTGTTCAAGGAAGAATGACATCTCCAGTACACTCTACCTTGGTTTCTTCTCTCTAAGATACAAACCTTCTAAAATTCTATAATCTTTCTGCTTAGTTCACAATTTTCTGTGTTTGGATGTCTTGCAGGTGTCTTCTTTCATAAGACCCCCACTGTTGCAGGGGTCTATTCCTTTTAAATATTTCTTAAATGTTTTAATCTTTATTTTCAGCCACCTACGTCATTTTATCTTCATCTTTGGAGTATTTTTTGCTCCAAAAAATTTATTTCTTTCAATAAAATGAAGAAAATATTCATCTAGGATTCAGTAATCCCTTTGTTGTGCATGTGCATTGTGGTTTCCAAGATGATGATGTTTTTCCAATCATCTTAAATACAGAGAACTTCAGGTATCACTTTGCATAAAAAATGCAAAGAAAACATAAAAATAGCAATTTTAGTGACTTAAACATTAAGAGAGTTTCTCTTTTGTATTTATTGTCCAATATTTACTGTTTGTCCTTAGAGCTAGTGTGACTGGAGGGTCACGCAACAGTCAGTACGGTGTGTTCGGTACAGAAAAGATAAAGGATCCCAGGCCACTCCAAGAAAAGGCATTCATCCAACAATGTATCAAGCAGCTTTGTGAGGTAACATAATAACTTATTCTGAATATTTAGTCATAGAATATGGTAATAAAAATTCTTACTTCCTTGGTTTCAGCTTCAGGTTCTATTTAGTGACTAATATGCCATGTTTCTTTTTTGTAGTTTCTGGTTGAGAATGGTTATGCCCATAATGTTTCCATGAAATCGCTACAGTCTCCATCAGTTAAGGACTTTTTAAAAATCTTCACTTTTATCTATGGGTTTCTCTGCCCTTCTTATGAACTGCCTGACTCAAAATTTGAAGAGGAAATTCCCAAAATTTTTAAGGAGCTTGGGTAAGATGATTATTTGTTAGTCTGTTGTGCTAAATAGATAAGATTCTGCTTGACAGCTGGGAAGAATGGATAGGCTTCTTTATTCAGATGAGACTCTGAAAGTACAATATTGTGATTATTGTGCTTCACTTTAGCTCTAGGTTTACACTCTGATTTTCAGACTCTACTATGCATTTTATGTTTGAACTTGCAGAACTATAGGCTCTTGGAAGCTTACTTTGTAATGTAAAATTTAATTGATTATCTTTATTTGTATAAAGCTTTGAAAGACAAACAGACCTTTCTTTTACAGACCCTTCTGTTTATGCTGTTAGAATCCGAGAACTAAAAATTCCAAAATGTTGGATCCAGTTAATTTAGTTTAAGATGTGTTTTTTTCCTGTAATCTCTCTCATTCTGCTTTCAAAACAGGGTGTGCAAATAACAAAAATAACTGCTGAGGTGAAAAAAACACAGAGTAGCTGAGTGGTTTACTTCTGAATTTGTTCAGTGTTTGGAATCATTAATGGCCCCCAATGCTTTCCAAGAAAGAAATTCATCTGCCTGTTGTTAATGGGGAATTTTCAGTCTCATTGAAAACCACCAAGGAAGTGTATTTTATTTCTGTAGATTTGAGTCCGTGATGGTGTCAAAGCACGGAAGGACTCCTTAGATGTAAATGTAAATCTGTTTCATTCCCTTCTTAATTAAATTAATTAAAACAAAACTTAATTAATATTAATCTGTAACATTTGAAACAGCTGATGTAGCTTGAAATCTTGAAACAGATTACATTCTGCTGCACCAAGAGTGTAATCCCGGATACAAAGACTTATTCTGAGAACTCATTGTAAGTTGTCTTTTTTGAGTTCAAGGAGCATCTGGATGACACTCTTAATCATGTGATTTATTTTTAGGCAGTCCTATGAGGAGCAGGGAGTTGGACTTGGTGATCATTATGGGTACCTTTCAAATCAAGATATTGTATGAATCATAAAGTGAGAAACCCATGATAATTGAATGAAATAGAAGTCAACTTATTTCCTTTGATGTACAGCATAAACTACAATTGAGTTTGTTCTTCCTTCTGCGCCTTCATCTACGTATAAAAATGTGCTGCTTTGTTTGCAAAATGTGCTGGTTTGTTTTCATCACTGTTTACCACTGCTATTAAAAATGTATTTCCTTTGGCCTTGTAGGTACCCCTTTCCTCTGTCAAAAAGCTCCCTGTACACAGTGGGAGCACCACACACCTGGCCTCAGATAGTGACAGCTTTGGTTTGGCTAATTGATTGTGTCAAGGTAACATTTGTCTTTCTTAAGCCAAATATTTCCACTTTTCAGCTTGAAATGTTAATTTTAGTACAAATCTCATAAATATTTTTTACAAATCTCCTTGTTTGATACTTATGAAAAGAAAACGATAGGCATTCTTACCTGTCATCTGGGAGTTAACCCTTAGCCTTACTTTTTAGTAACTTTTAAACTGAGCTTTTCATGTTATATTTCTTTAAATGTATGTACTAGACAAATTCATGTATATAAAAGGGAGGGAAATGCTGGCTTATATACATACAGAAAATGTGAGAAGTTAATGGGTATCATCACGGTGGATTCATGTTACCTTCAGTGCTTATCTTGTGACATCTGCTATTCTCTCCTAAATTTGAAGTCTAATTTTGAATTTTCAGTTGTAATTATTCAAATGTCTTATGATTGTTATACAGAGTGGAGAGTATTGTGCTTGGGCAAGGGGGTTGTTTAGTTTTGGGGGGTTTTGGTGTTGTTGGTTTTTTTTAGTAGTGGTAACTCTTCTTGCTGTGACAGAAGTTCACCACTGCTGAATTGGGCACACACAAAAATCCCATCCTTTATGCTGAAAAGACACATTTGGCTTAGCAAGACAACTTGGCAGTGTTGAACGTCCAGTTCCTGCCTCTTCACCTGTGCGTTTAGTCAACTAAACACAGGCTCATTACAACCTGCTTTGCTGAAATCCTAATCCAGTGTTACTCTGCTTCTTATAATGGACATGAAATGAACATGAAAACTAATGGATATCTCCACACTTGCTCTTTGTATGTGCACCTGTGCCTTTCAGTTGTACACTGCCATGAGGGAAAATGCACCATCCTTTGAGGAGGGACAGAGCTGGGGAGGAGAGACGGATGATGGAATTGTACATAATAAGGTATCACAAAAATTAAATTATAACCAGAATTGTGCAGATGAATTTTGCCATACGCTATCACAACACAATTTAAATGTGACACAACAATTGAAACTGTATTTATAGATTCTGTTCCATTTTATATTTACAGGGTTCTCTAGGAAGTATTGTAGCCTTACATAAAAGGCCTGATCAACTAGTTTCCTAAGCAGGCATCATGGCCAGTCTGTTGGTGAAGACTGGGTATTAAACTGAGATGCCTTATTCTCCAAGTAGCTACTCTTTCCATTCTCCTCTGTGGAGAAAGGGAATTATTATGCTGTTTGTTTATTGTTTTAATAAGGTTTCTGGTACGTTTTGTTTTAACACTCAAGTCTCTTGAGATTAACAGCAGTACAGCGTAAAGACAGCGTATAATTAAAGATTTAATTATAAATGTAGTGGCTTCTGCCAATATCTACTCAGCTTACTATATAAAATTTGGTTGTAAAGCTTCATTTCTGAGCCACAAAATAGGGTGGCAATGTAATTCAGGTGCTTAAAAATGCAACAGCTTGCTTTCTTAAATCTACTCAGCTTGAACTCAATGTTAACTCACAGCAGGTGTTTGGAAGGGGTTGCATAATGTGCTAAAACATTTAATTAGAAAATTGCAAAAATTAAGTTAAATCATAATTTTGGACTAAGATTACAAACCTGAGAGTTGATGAGTAAAAATGCTTTTAAACTAAATGTGCACTTCTACAGTGACATGTATAGATATATGTTGATACAAAATTTACAGTATTGATGTAATTGCTTCTGAAAGATCTGTAATTTAACATCTGTAGTGAATTCTCTTTGGGTAACCTTTCTTTATTTCCAGATCAATTCTCTGATGTCTGCACATCTGAATTTCAGTGGTCATATTTACTGAAGAGGTCTGTTAAACAGGCCTACATTTTCCATAAACTAGCCTGAGAGAGTGATATGCTTCAACATAAAAAAATTTTATATATTGTATCTACTATCCTTGTTAAATATCTCAGAAAAATATAGCAAGTATTTCCAGACCTTTCTTAATGTGAATTATAGATGCCTCCTCCTGCCTGAATATAATCTCTTGGCATTCTGTGTTTAAAGAGAGGAAAAAAATTGAATTTTGCAGAAGAACAATCAAAACAGTGAAATGTTGTTTTTTTATCTGCTTAATTCCATCTTACAGCCCTTTGAATTGCTGAGATGAAAGCTTTATAAATTTTTTTCAGGTTTTCATGGACTATGCTGTGAAGTGCTATGAGCTTTTCATGAAAGGGAGAGATACTTTTGAAGAATTGGATGCCGAAGTGCAGTCAAAATTAAGTAAGTTTTCAAGTTTTAATTATTTGTGTTACTGGTTTCTTTTCCCCTAGCATCAGTTTGCTCAGTTTACAGGTGAAAGTGATCTGAGATAAGGGAACCTGAAATTCCGAAGTACTGCTCAATTACTTCAACTTAATTCTCTCTTTTTTTATATGCATTGCTGCTGATACAGAGGGGTGGGTCATGATCTGCTGTCAGCTGTACCTGTGTCACCCTGTTGTTTTTAATGGCTTTGTGACAGGAAACCAGTATACAGTTCTTCAGATGCAAATTCTATGCAGATGACTCTTGTTTCTCTCTGACAAATTTAACATTTAAAAAAAATAAAAGAAAAATATTTTCAAAGGAATGCAATCTGATAAGTAAGAAAGTTCAGCTTTTGAAAGCTCTGAAAACAGTCTGCAAGAGTTCCAAACTCTGTTTTTAGGGTTCCCATAAGTGATTCAGCATGCTTCATGCATGATTTCATGTTTGTCTTCAGGGAGGTAGGCAATTGACTCATTCATTTCACCAGCTACAGAAATACAAACAGAATTTGAGAACCAGGAAGAAAAACATTTCCTACTTTCCGTGCCCTCCTATGAAAAGCCAGACTAAGGACACTTTGGTTGCAAGCTGGAGACATCAGTTGGAGAGGAAACAAGCTAGCAGGTTGTTGCTAGATATTAGTAGGAAAAAATAACCATGCCATTGTTTGGCAAAGATTAAGGGCCAAGTAAGGGAAAACATGTCTCAAGAGACAAGGAAGTATGTGGATGAGAAAGGAGTATGCAAGTCAGACTACCTTGAAGCTGGAACAAATAAAGCTTATTTAACAACCTCTATCCTTTTAGTGTGGGTTATATGAGAGTTTGGAAACTCTTACCTCATGGGAGTAACTTCGAGCTCTTTTATGACACAAAGACTGAGAAACTGATTTCTCCTTGTTTGTTTGGGGATTTTTGTTTATTTCCTTTGTAATGAAAGGTTTTTTTTAGTGGGTTTGTTGGTTGGGGTTTTTTTGTTGTTTGTTTTTTGGTTTTTTTTAGTGTAAAATAATTGTCCAGATAATGGGTATTTACTGTGCTGAAGTTAAAGCTCAGATTAGGTGGTGATATTCGGTAATATTAATTTATAACCCTACACCCTTTTCCCCTCTCCCCCAGAGGATTTATTTAATATAGATGAATTCCAGATAGAAGGTTTAGCAGCTGACAACAAAAGACTTCAGGAAGAGATTGCAAGACTAGAAAAAGAAAAGGAAAGTGAGCCGGTTAGTAAATTGTCTCTCTCTGTTTATATGCTGGAGTTCAATTTTATATTATTGACCATTATTGTCATTATTAAATGAAGATACTTATGATACATAACAACAAATGGAAAGTTATTTTCAGTGCTTTGAGATTTTAATCAGGCCAGATTATTACAGACTGTATACCATTATAGTACAAGGCATTTTCTGTGGAGTCTTCAGTCACTCTTTGTTTGATAATGTGCAGATATTTCCAGGTAAAAAGGTCTTGTATTGACTGAAATATTAATAAGGTACTTGAACCACTTTTTCTTTCTGAATGTCAGCATTATCTTTTCCAAATGTGTTGGTATTAGGCATGGGATTCAGTGGTAACAATACATTTTAGGGAAAATATTTTGCTTGAAAACATGGATTCTGCTTTTAGTACAACATGAGTTTAAAAATGGTTTAGTGGCTGTTCAGCTGGCAAATGAAGACTCCTGCCTACTGTGCAAAATGTGCTGTTTGTATTTCCAGCTTTCCTTACCCTAGTTTTACCTGGGTTTTTTGTATTATTATACTTAAGTTGTGAATTACATGTAGTAAGAACTGTCTCAATGCAGTGCCTGATGCAAATCAGAGACTTAAAGGTGAAATGCAAGAATCTCTTCAGCCTTGTTTGTTATTTTAAAGATGCTTAAATTGACTCAGCTGTCAGAGAGATAAAAATTTATTCAAGTCCTTTAATTTTATATTTATATCATTGTTCTGACCAGTTACTCTAATGTCCTGTCTGGAAAGTGAAGTGATTATTTTATATTAATCTAACAGTGGTTGTTCTTTTCACCCATTCACTAGGATCGCAGAGTAACACTACGAAATGTGAAATCGTCTCTTCAAGCAGATGTCCAGAAATACCAGGCTTATTTGGCTAATCTGGAATCTCATATAGCCATCCTTGATCAAAAAATGGAAAGTGTTACTGATGAAGTTGAGTCAGCAAGTAAGAAGACCTTGGTCACAATTGGGATAGTGAAGCTAGAAATAGTTTTAAAATAATTTTAATTCTCAGCTTTAGGACAGAGTGAGATGATGATGATGGTACAAATGAACTTTCCGAAATGCATTGCTAATAAAGAGGGATTTTTGGGGTAATATCTGTTTGTACACTAGAGTAATGAAATATAGATATTATTTACTCATAAAATACAAATGTTAGGTTTAACTACATAGAGTGGTATTTTACATCTGTTTCACAAATGTTTTGTGAACTTAGAATTGGAAGTAGAAGCAATGAAGCAGGAGAATGCCCGGCTCCAGCACATCTTTGACAACCAAAAGTACTCAGTTGCAGACATTGAGAGAATAAATCATGAGAGAAATGAGTTGCAGCAAACCATTAAAAAGCTGACTAAGGAAGTGGAAGCAGAAGAACATCAGCTGTGGAATGAAGAGCTAAAATATGCTAGGAATAAAGAGGCGGTATGTGAAAACCCCACTACACTGAGAGCTGGCTATCAGTTTTCATCATGCAAGCTGAAACTTGGGACTTGAACTATTGTTGACTTCTTTTCTAAATAATCTAACAACAGACTAAACTGCATCATGAGAGATGTAGCTAGAATATGCACCACTGTCAGCTCTCACTGCTATAGCATTGCAAGCTTTGTTGATATCAGCATGACATTGCTTTGATAACACAAGAAGTTTCAGGTTAATGTTAAGATTTTATGGGAAGGAAATAGTGCTTTGAATCAATATCTTTGCATGTGTTTAGGGCCAGGTTAATCCCTTATGTAGAAGTTTTAATATCTTTTAAGGGCCAAATTCAATTCCTACAAACAGAATGAAAAGGTGTAGTCCTGTAAGTGATGGGATTTAAAAGCTTCTACTTTGCCACATGGAGAACTAGATAAAAAGATTTCAAATATATTTTGCATTTCACAGTGTCAAGCACTTGGTATTAACTTAAATTCCTCATGTGCCAGTATGAAGCACATAAAACTGGGAAAAATATTTAGGTTCTTTAGTATTTGGAAATAAATAGCACTCATTAATTAGAAAGTAGAGCATTTAATAAGTTTTGTTTAACGGTATGCTCAAGTTAGTTTGTTACAAGGATATGTGGCTATGTGGCATTTCCTGTCAAAACCAAAGAGAGAAGGCATGTTAACATGATGACTGAACTTTGGTTTAGTATTATTTTTAAGCATGCTTTTACTTCTCTATCAGCTAGTCCTCAAAAAGCTGAGGCAGGAAAAAATATGGCAGATGAAACCATTCAGTGTCAGCCATACACACTGAGAAACCTTGCTGAGCAAACTGAAAGAATAATAAAACAGCACTTAATCCAGCAAACTGCTGGACTGTCATTACATACAGCTCTTGAATACTGTGGTGTAACATGTAATTGTGTCTGTACATAGCAACTCAGGAACCTGTTTAAAGTACTATATGAATATTTTCTGCAAAGCTTTTCCCTTCTGCCTCTTATGTGATTTTTGCCCTCTTCTCTGAACAGATAGAAATACAACTGGCAGAATATCATAAACTGGCTCGAAAGCTGAAATTAATTCCAGTAAGTGCTGAGAATTCCAAAGGCTTTCACTTTGAGATTCAGTTTAATCCTGAGGAAGGACCAAACTGCCTAGCCAAATACAGAGCCCAGATCAACGTAAGTAGAGCCAACACTGAAGGCTTTTGTTATCGCTCACAAAAAGATGTGTTTCTTTGGAAATGTTGGAAAGGTCTCTCAGTCTCACAATGAAACTTCATTGAAAAGCTTCTGTGATGAGTTGCCACAACTACATTGTAGCATATGAAGAAAATTTGGTGTTGGAGAGTACAGCAGCCTAAATAAAAACAGGAGAAAGAAAAGATGTACTGAGGTACATCTTAGTTCAAACTAACAAGTCGCATTAGCCAGATCTTCTTGTATGCATATTACAGGCTCCCCTTATGGAGATCATAAACCAGACAGAGGAAGACATTAGGAAAGCTACTGAACGGAAAATGTCTTCGGAAGATGCTTTCGAACAGGTGCGTTGGTTAGTGAAGATAAAGACTAAGATACCAAACATAATATCTGCTGGTCCCATTTGACCCTTTGGCATGGGTGAAGTATGGTGTGGTGGGCTGTTTTTTGTTTTTGTTGGGTTTGGTTTTGTGCGGGTGGGTTGGTTGGTTGGTTTTTTGGGGTTATTTTGTTTGGTTGGGTTTTTTGGTGTTTTTGGTTGGTTGGTTGGGTTTTGTTGGTTGGTTGGTTGGGTTTTTTTGAGGGCAAGTAAAGAGGGGAAGAAGCTGTGAGAAAATTGCTTTAATTATGAGGGAACTCAAAAGTTTTTCTAAGAATTGGGGTCGTTTTCTATTGGTTGAAATATTGTGTATTCTCTGCACTGAAGTTTATGCAGCTTATATACATTTGACCATAAACACTGGTAATATTTGTTTTTAATAAGTTGCCCATTGCAGTCTGTTGTGTGGCTTACCATCACTGGCAAATTGTCATCAGCAAGATTTTTAGCAATATTGGGTTCAGGGTGGATTGGAAGAAGGAGAATTTCATTCTTCCTCTACCTCGGTTTTTATTACTGAACATGATGGTATGGAATATCCTTGTGGCCATCTGGCCTGGCTGTGTGCCTTCCCAATCTCTTGCTTGTCCCTGCCGTACTCAGTGAGGGGCCCTGGGAGGGATGGAAAGCTTTGGATGGTGTGCAAGCACTATTCAGAAATAGCCAAAACATTGGTGTGTTTTAGCCTCTTATCCAAACCAAATCACAATCCAGGCTGCAATGAAGAAAGTTAATGCCCTCCCAACCTGGCCTAGATTAAATATTTTCTGGGCTACCAGGTGCTGTTTGTGATGGCATGGATTTATAGGTTGGGATTCTTTTCAATTGCATTTCCTTGGTTATGTTTTCATTCTAGGTGAATGCAATGGTAGCGGATGCAAAAAGCAGTGTAAAAATGCTGACAGAAGAAGCTGAAAAGCTGGATGATCTTTACCATCAGAAACTTAAGGTAAAACTTCTTACAGATTGATGACAATTTATCCTTAATGATATCTTTAATCTTTGTATTTATATATAAGTTTTTGCTTTGCATTTTTGTTTGGACCTCTGCTCTTGCCTTCTTCCATTCCTCTTTCAGGATTTTGTCATTCTTTTCAGAAGTATTTGATTGCTACCTTAAGTGAGTCTGTTTTCACTTTTTTGTAAGAGAATCTGGCATTGTACGTTAGCAGATCCTGTAAATCGTGAAGTTCTACGTCCAGTAAAAAAAGTGGCAGCAATCATCTCCTAACCTCAGGATGTCTCAGAGCGTGTGCTTGAAGGAGATTTTAGGACTAACAAAGTCTGCTTTGTCTAATCAATTTGTATATAATGAATACATTTACAGGTTTTAGTAAACATATTTAATTAGTTTCCTTAAAAACTAAGGAATATATTGATTGACCAAAAGCAAATTAAATGTTTTAATTATCTGAAAGTGTTGCTTGCTTTAGCTTCCATCCCCAGCACAGGAACAGTCCTTAATCCCTTTCCTCACTTGTGATTTAGCAACTAAGTGGCTGCTTCAATACCTCCTAACTTCTCTGACAGCATGGCTTTGGTGGGGCTGTGGCACTCTAGCAAAAAATGCTCCGTGAACTAAGTGTTTAGCATATATGCACTTGTAAATCCAAACTCCTGTGCTGTAGCCATGAAACAGAGCTGTTTTACTGCCAATACCTGCTGAGGTGGCTAAAGGCAATTAATTTAGCTTACTGTTTTCAAAAACACCTGAAAGTTAGCTTTTGATCTATGCTGTTGCATATACTTTTCTCTAAAGGTAAGCTCATAAAATACACAGTCACAACTGGATGTTTCTAACAAGACAGTTGTGATTTTTAAAATGCTGTCCATAAGACTTAAGTATTAAAATTATTTTGAGGAATCATGTTTCAGAATCTACCAGAACTGCATCTTGAATTGATGGCAGAATTTTGTATGGTTTTGTGGATTTAATTGTATTAAATATAGTATCAACACTGTCATTCTCCTTGAAGAGGTGATTACTTGGAATTTGTACTCAAATGTGATTTTACTTTTTTAACCTAGAAAGAGTTGCTCATGATGTGCCATTTCTAAATTATTTAGAGTATGTAAATAACACTTTTTGAGATTAACTTTGAAGGGAAGATTACTGCAACACAGACCTTTAAATATGATTAAAGGAATAAAGAGAAGGTTAGACTGATTCTGAGAGGAAGATGATACAGAAAATACCTGAAACTTTATGTTTGGGAGGGATGTCCCTGTTTTTGTTTTTTTTTTAATTCTGAGCTTGGAGTTACTTTTGTGAATTCTGAATTCAAGCATCAGGATGCAATCAGGTAATATAAAGGAGGAAAAAAATTCTAATTATTCCCAAGCTATGCAATTTTTTCCTCTTCTTTCCTTATTACAGGAAGTAGAAGAAGAAGAGCAAAAATGTGCAAATGAACTGGAATTGTTAAAGAAGCATAAACAATTACTTGAGAGTGGTGTCAATGAAGGTCTCAGTGAAGCCACAAATGAATTGCATGATCTCCAACGACAGTAAGACCCATACCTTCAAAGTTTGCCTAGTTTACTTTGGCTTTTACTGATAAAGATATTCTCTTGAATCCTAACATAAAATTGTTTCAGCTTTTATCCATCTCAGTCTATATTAATTTCACAAGTTAGCAACTAAAGGATGTTTCTCCTCAATGGTATTTTGCTAGAATATTTGTCTACTCTAACAGAACTCCTGTTTTCCATGTAATTTTTTTCATATATATGGTTGTAATAAGGAAATTGGTTTGTTTCCTAAGTTATGTGACAACTAGATTTTATGCCTTAAAGTTTGAAAATACTATTCTGACTCTAAGGTACAATGTTTCTTACTGGTTAGCACAATACAGTCCATTCTTCTAAACTGAGTATTAATATACAAATCTAACTTGGTTCAATTTAATACTAATAGAAAAAAGTGTGACTAAACATGACAGTAAATCAGATTTGATGATTATTTTGTAGTTACGGACATGACTTTCTGAGTATCTGTTTTTAGATATCAAGTCGTTGTGCAAACAACAACAGAAGAGAGCAGAAAAGCTGGTGATAACTTGAGTCGTCTTTTAGAAGCGATTGGTACTCATGTAGCATCTGTAGGGGTAAGTAAATTTGTAAGTTTTATATTCAGAATCAAATCTCTCTAGAGACACGTATGGCCAGTCTTCGCGAGCGAAGATTTGGGAAAGGTCATTAACCCTTCGAGCCTGCGCAGTGCAACTGCAGTTAAACACGTGGAAATTAGAACTTACGGTTTCTTATCAAGTATTAGTTATTTAGCTGCTGCACTGAGTCCGTAGATTCTAGTTAAATTTGTTGACAAAACCTTTGGTATAAATAATCGGCATTGATCATTAAATTTCAGCAGTTACATCCTGTCAGGTTTAACCTGCTTCTGGTAGACATCTTTCAGAAAAGTGTTTAACTGAAATCACCTAACCTGTGCAATAACTGCTTAAAATGCTTTAACAGAATCAGAGACCATGATAGACCTAATAAACTTTCTGTAACTCTTTTCTAGAAATACCTGGTTGAACAGAACATGAAAATTGAGAGAGATTATGAAGAATTCATGTCTGAAGATCTGTTGTCAGACTTGAACAGAATTCTAGACAGTTATAAAAAGAAGGCTGAAAGTCTGTAATTACCAAAAAAGTGAAGATGAAAATTTTGCATTTCTGAATGGTATGGGGCCTTTTAAAAGGAAGGGTACTTCTGATGTTTAGCAGTGAAACTAGATTTAAGTTTAAGGAAGTATTTATTAACTTCTTTTGTTTTGAAGATGTGTTGAAGAATTAAAAAAAAAAATTTGCATTTTCTTAAAAAAGGCTTTGCTTACACTTCCTACTTACAGTATCTTATATATCCTTACAAACATCTGTGACAGAACAAGTGCGGAACAACTGCATTTTGTTTTTTCTTTACAATCAAATAATTTTCTGGGAATATCACTACAACAGAAATAGAGTTAACCTGTTAAAATAACAAAGCAGAGTGGAATTAAGATGGAACCACAAGTGACAACACCAATGCAGAGGGTACTGACAACTTGAAATAGTGCTACTCAAAAATAACTAGTGGGTTTTGTAAATGTGCCAGATTGCTAACTGATAAGTTATACTTTCCCTTCTAGAGTATAGTTTGTGCATTTCATGTATACATGTGCATTTAGGGCACATACGTGACCATAATGCTTATACAGGAGTCTTGTAAATAGTCTAGGAAAAAAAAGAGTAGTTTAAAAACGAAGTTCTCTCTCTAGGTGCTTATGATCCCAGATGAAACCTCATTGAACTTGTTGAAGATATATGCCAGAGATAGCTCTAAGCAGGACAACACAGGAATTCTGGCTGTATGTCTTATTAGTTGTAGGTTTGGCTGATGTTAGATACATCAAAATGGTCTAAAATGTGTCTGCATTCTGTTTGTTCAACCAGTAGGACAGACTATTTGATTTTTCTTCCCCAGGAAAGTAGCAATAAAATTAGAGTATGGGAACCTCCAGTCCAAAAACATTGAAGAAAATGTATCAGTGGAATGCTATGTGGAAGTAGTATTCTATAATCTACTCTGAATATAATTTTGTGTTAAGAAAAATAAAAAAATAAACCCCCGCATTCGTGTCTTGGATAGTTTAGTTTATGATGGTACTTCCTATTAAAAATATTGAAATATTTGAGTGTTGTTTTTAGAGTTCAGAGATAAATATCACTGATTCAAATATACAAAGATAAAAACAACTTTGCAGTTGTTAAAAAGTTTGTAGCAACAGATAGATAAAGGAAGTTGCTCCTTAATTCTATAACTGGGCACAATATTTAAATGAAACACAGATCCCTAGGATATATGACAAAACTTAATTTGGACCATCTGAACACAGACTGCAAATAAAAACTGAATTGTCTCTAATTCTAGGCTATTTTTGCAGAATGCATTTTAAATTCAGTTGTCCTTAACATAGCGTGAGAATCTTCTGGTTCTGGTATGAGTATTTTGTTTCAGATATTATGATAATGATGGCATTAAGGTTCTGATTTCCTGTTCTTTTGGGATACTCTGGAAGTTTAATTTGACAGCTCTAAAAGTGTTCTGGCAGGTGGGTAGATTTACTTCTTTCTTCTGTTGTCCTCTTTTTCTTTTTACCTTTACAAAGTCTTGGGGTTTGGGTTTTTTTCTGGTAACAGCCTAGTCCTTACCGAATCTCAGTTCCTTCTCTTTAGAAACTTTTTGCTTTTGTGATCTTACTAATACTTTTGTTATCTGAAACAATACTCCTCTAATTAAGAAAAACTGTAAACCATACCATACAGAAGGGGTTATGCTCTCACTTGGCTACCTGATATCTGTTTGTCTCTGCTTCTATAACTGACTGATCTTATGTTTATTAGCCATCTGCAGGTTCCTTGCCATGTGGAGTAGTCAGTTGACTGAGTAACTGAAAGCAAAATAAATGGCACTTCCAAGGACTAGTATTAACCCAGTGGTAATGGGGTAAAGAATTGAGGTCACAACAACATTTCTTCATGTACTCGCTACTGTAATATTCTGAAATTAAAGTAGTCTGGACATTTTAAAAAAAATGCATGTTTGTAAGGTTGGCAACATGTTTTTGTTATTGGGCTGAACTATTGGTGTGGACATCAGTTGAGCTAAATTGACTTTAGAACTGGCCCAGGTTCTGTAAAATACTATGTAATATAACATGGGAACATGGGCCAATGTTTACTAGGTAACGTTTTCAGAATTTTAAAATGGGGGGAATTTTTTAATTCTTCTTGAACATGGCTCCTCTGTGATATTGAAAGTCAGGTAGTTATTTTTTGTGTTCTGGAATGTGGCTTTTAAGTGTAGACAACAGGCCTTAGAACATAACTACTGCTCTTGCTTTTGCTTTTGTTTCTGTTTTTATCAGAATGTAAAGTCTTAATCAGAATGTACAATGGCACCTGCACATTTCAGTAGTATGAGTCATTTGTAAATTTTTGCCTTTGTATGGATACAGTTGTCTCATTTATTGCAAATGTACCTTTTGTACAGTTTACTTAATGTGTCTTAAGTTTATGTATTTTTATATTCAATAAAATTCCTTAAGCCTGTTCCTATGAAGGATAGATTCTTACTGCAAGTACAGAAATAAGACATAAAAACCCAATTAATTTGACTTCCCTCGTGGAACGAGGTAGTCATCTTAGCAGCAGATACTAATTCCCTGGCTATCCTTGCTGTTAAACATGCATTGTGTAGAGGAAAAACAAAATATAGAAACATGTTATTCCTATAAGTTTCAGAGGAATAAAAATTGTCTTAACATCTTTTGAAAAAATAGGTGGCTTTTAGAAAACTCTAAGAAGCCTAGGGCCAAGCTGCTTTGACAATTATTTATGTGGTATACTTCTGACATTAAACTTCCCAACCAACCTTTTCCTATTTTAAGCATTAAAGGACTATTTCCTTTATATGACCACTCTTTGATCTGCCTTTTTTTATTTTATTAGCTATTAAAAACCCAAACAAACAACAAAAAAATCCAAAACCAAACAAACAAACACACACTAAACCAAAAAACACTTGACACTGTAGAAGTATGATAGCAACTCTATCTATAGCTTTGTTCTCTTCCCTGCAGTATGTTATTTTTATTTTTGTTGTCGGAAACTCTCATCACTGTCAAGAATGTGGTAGTTTTGTGGGGTTTTTTTGGAGTACTTCTTGAGCACATCATATGGAATCACTCCTGTTGGAAAGGGCCTCTAAGTTCATTGAGTCCAACCATTAACCCCGCACAGCTGAGTCCACCACTAACTCATGTCCCTAAGTGCCACATGGACATGACTTATAAATGCCTCCAACCGCTTCCCTGGGCAGCCAGTTCCAATGCTTGACAACCCTTTCTGTGAAGAAATTTTTCCTAATGGCCAATCTCAACCTTCCCTGGTGCAACCTGAGTCTGCTGAGGCTTTAAATGTGTAGTGGCTGCTCAGCTCACTTGTATGAGGCTACTTGGACCATTCTCATTGTTTTTGCTGATGTCCAGTAGTGCATGCCTATGCAAGCCGTTAGCTCAGAGCTAGATAACAATATGTTCTCTGTGGTTCTGTGATACCATTACTTTGTCTACTTTGGCCTTTAATGGAAGTTTTCATCTCTGCTCCAACTTTTGTGGTAGAATTGAAGATCCATGTATATATTTTTATCTTACTTTTGGAAAGAGTACAAAAGAAGACAAGGCCTATAGGTGAATATATTCCCTTTTCACTAATAAGAGGTGGAACTCCCTCAGTTGGGAGCTCTACAGTAAAAAGGAAAAACTGGTCTGTCATGCCAAGTGACTATGCAAAGCAGTGGAGATTTTGTAAATGAAGGTACTACTAGCATATGCCTTCTCTACAGATTATTTGGTATGCAGGTATTTTGAGCACTGCAAAGTATCTGAAGAGACTATATATTAACTTTCCACTCTTCTCTGGAGAGCACTGTTTTGCTTTAATACTGAAAATCTTAGTGTGTCCTTTAGAGTCAGTTAGCCTTCCTCTTTTGGCAGTATTACAGAAAAGGGAATTGACCTGGTTTTTCAATACTTGCTTTCTACACTTTTTGGCTATGAGAAGTTCCTGGCATGATGAAATTGTGTATTGTCTTTTTCCTTGCAAAGTTCTCCACCATATAGGACTATTGTATCTTCATTGGGATTTTACTTTTTAGGTGCTTGTTGAAAGTTTTTGATGGTATTCATTCCTTTTTAAGGAATGGAAGAAGCACAGAAGACTCACACAGCCCTCAGTGGATGAGGGACTATCAGTGCCTTAGCCAATGTCATATCTAAGGGAAGTGCAGTGACATCTTCAGTCCCATATCAGGTGATTGGCAGAGACTGAACAATCAGCATGAGTTAACCTTAATTTTACAGGCTTTTCTGGTAGAACTTGATCTGTTTACAGGATTTTTCTAGACATAACAGATGCCATGTCTGTTGTGCACTACTGCCCTCTGGAGAGTAGACCTTTTGTGCACAGTGGTTGTGGGAAGATGGCTGGGGGTAAAAATTAGAGGAAACTGAGAAGTTCTATTCACATCCCAACGGAAGTTTTAACAGTACAGAAATTATAGGGTAAAATGCAGCTGCTACCCCCTGGATGGAATGCGGTCCATGTGCTCCACTACGCTTTCCCATACAACAGCAAGCACCTGCTAAGGGGGATGGAACGTAGGGTGGAGCAGAGCGGAGACACCGCAGCCAGGCTCTGTGGAAATCCTTGCAGAGAGGGGGACTCCATGGTACTTTGCAGCTGATAACCTGCATAGCACCTGTCAGTCAAGGGAGATAGGAAAAGATGTCCTGCTGCTGAGCCAGCAACTGTGACGAAATCTCTCCTCGGATGAACTTGGTTCATTAAAGCCTAATTGTAATATTAACGCACGCCTCCATCCCAACGTTACCACCTCCAAGGTACAACCACCCCCCCACTTGGCATGCACCCTGTATTTTTTTACTGTATCTTTAAAAGCAGAGAGAAGCAATGAAGGTATTTATGACTAAAGTCACTCAAGCTCCACCTAAGCATAAACAAATAGTATAAAAGTTGAGAATGGAGGAAAAGTTAGGGAAGACTCCATCACAACTGCTGGGATCAGTTGATGGGCTGAACCTGTCTTCTCCCCCATAGGGACACCTGTTGGGTAAGAACTGTATAAGCACTGAATACTTAAGAGCTTGAGATTACTGCCTTAAATATGTTTTTGCAGTCAACTATTATCACTGGCAATCTTCGATCTGTCACAATTTCGTATTGCTAAAGAGTGTTATTCCATAACCTGTTAGTGGTGGTCCTCCCCAAGTGCTAGCAGTTGCTGGCAGCAGGTAACACACTCGAATAGTGGGAAGACCCACTGCTATGGGTCTCTGCTATGCTGTTGATGTGTGTCCCTGAATAAGCCAGTCAGATCGCCCTTTGATCCAGCAGGACTGTTCTGTGAAGGGTCCCCATAACAGGACATAGACTGGTTGGGCACAAGGGTCTTGGCTTTCTTGGGGCAGTGACAGACAAACACTAAGGGTGGAGTAAAACTCCCCACACTAAGGATCAAGGATATCTCCCCTCTTCACATGACAATGGTTCATAAGGGTCTACCAGTCCCAGTATTTGCCTGAGGTAGACAGGATCACGTGTCCATCTACGGGATGATTGCCTGCATTGTCCCTCTATTCCAGAAGTTCTTATCAATAGCTCCATGTAGTCTCTATGGTGTTTTCCCTAGCACCTCATGCATGAGACCACAGTTTTAATTGGTAATGTCTCATATGATCAGCATTTTAGTCTCAAGAACCCTTTGCAGAGGGTTAAGATTTAAAAGACATATTGTACGTTATTCCAATTTCACCTCTACAGTCACATTTATCAGTCTGGCAAGACTCCAAAGCAGAAGGAAAGACAGGTTATGATGGAATGTGTCTAAATATTTTGAAACAAGCAAGATTAATGTAATTTTGTCTTACTTTTCCTACCAGTATTCAGAATAGTGAAATCCTTTGTATTGGTAGAAACCATGTGGCCTTTTTGAGAACAGCACAGTCATGCGCTACTATTGGTGTGCCCAGCTGAAAGGAAAGGCTAT